GCTTAGATTCTAGTGCAGTGACTGGAGAGAAATACATGAGAGGATGCATTGGATGGTGAGACGTGCTAGGAAAAAACAAAGCAGGCAGGGAGGGGTCAGGAGCTGAGCAGGGGAGCGTGGGAGACGGGGAACAGGCCAGTGAGGAGTCATACTAGTGCAGGATCCGACCCCGTCTTCGTGTGAAATTTTGGTATTTTGCTCATCGTGAGTTTTCTTCCATTAATTTTCATTTTTCATTTTTACTCAGTACTTTCCGTTACTGAGTTCTTCGGTGCCCTCTTAAATTTTACACCCTGGTTTCTGCCCCGGAAGCAGGGTCTGTGTAAATATGATGACAGTCACGCGAGGAAGGCTAAGATGCCTGGCTAAGTCTTCAGACTTTACTCTGTGGTTTTTGGAAAGGGCACTGGAGGGTCTGGAACAAACAGACCACGTGACCAAAAATACCACCTGGGGTCTATTGGTCTGCAAGTTGTGTGGAGAATGAGCGGAAATGACCAGCGCGCCAGGACCAGTTGGGGGAAATGTATTGTGAATTATCTGGGGATGCTGGAGCAGCAGGCAGTGGAAAGGAAGGCTGGTGGCCCCATGCCCTTCGTGTGTCTTTGCCTGCCCCTAAACCAGCCCCAGAAGTCAAGCAGCTGAGCAGACACAATGGATCCCGGCCTCTTGCCTCTTTCTGTTTTTAATATGGTTGATTTGTGCAAAACAGGAAATTCTGCCGTGACAATGGCTTTATTTGCGGCTGAGAAATGCAATTTCGAGAACTCTAAAAACCAGCGGCCCCTTGTGTGGCAGGTCAGCCATGGTTATGGAATCTCCTCCCTTTCCAACAGGGGCCAGGATTTCCCCCTCAAGAGCGGCTCTGTCTCTAAGACAGGGGACGAGGCGACTTAGCCTTTCGGGAACTCCCAACTGCATGGGGCCCTGGCACCACAGAGGAGAGGGGCTGGGCTGAGGGCCAGCTGGGCCCTGTGAAGGCAGGAAGCTTTACAGGGAGGTTGCAGGAAACCCTCCCCTGCCCCCAGGCTTTGGTCCTAGATAAACTGTTCAATGGGAGGTAGAGCTTTGGGCTGGGGAAACTCAGAGAGGTAAGGTAATTCAATTCCTAGAGAAGGAGGCAGACAGGAATGTGCCATGGGCCCCAAGGGTCTGGGCCTCCAGACCCTTCAGCAGCAACTTCTAGTCTCTGTTCAGTGGACTTGGAATTTCTGGCTCTGATTCCTCCTGATGGGCTCACTCCCTGAGACTTCTCTGGTCATTTTCTAAAATGAGATTTACATTCTTTTGCAGACTAGTCTTTTGGAATCAGAGTCCAGTTTGAAACCTGCCTGTGGCTTCCTAGCTGTGTGAACTTGTATAGGTTGCCTGGTTTCTCTGAGCCTCAGTTCCCTCATGGAGTTTACGTGACAAAACCCAGCAAGAGTCAAATCCCTGCTTCTCTGCTCAGTGTCCCTAGGACGGTGGGCCAGACACTTCACCCTTCAGAGCTTTGATGTTCTCGTCGTTGATAGGGCGTAACTGTAGAGCTTACTGCACTTGTCCGGATCAAAGGAGACAAACCCCTAAATAAGATAAAACATGAACATGGCAAATAGTAGGAACTCAGTAAGCAGTTACCGTGATTACTGCTATGGTTGGAAGTAGTAGCTCTTATCATGTTAACTCTGGAATAAGCTGCAGCAAACATGGGAGCAAGCTGAATTTCAGGGCCCCAGTGAGATCCTTTAGAACTCTCCTCTGGCTCCCCTTGACTGACCCAGCCAAGCGCTGACGGAGCACCTACTATGTGCCAGTCCCTGTGTTAGGAACAGGGGACCCAGCAGCAAAACAGATATGCTTCCTGCTCTCATGCAGCTTAATGTCTAGTGGGAAAATCAGAAAACTGAATAATTTTATGAATTTAGAGTTCCCTAAAGTGATTTGAAGGAAGAATCTAGCAGTTAGGAGAAATTACAATAGAAGGTGCCAGCATGGTCTAGGAGGCCAGGGACACTTTCAGAGGAAGTAAAGGCTGATATGAGATCTGCTGATGAGGGATGTGATGAAGCCAACCCTGTGTCCCTCCCTGGTCCTGCGGGGCTGTGATGCCTGGAGGTCTTCATACCTCGGCTCCCCTATACTCTGGGGGCCTCCTCTGCCGGGTGTTAGTCTGTAATACCCAGGGATCTCCCTCCCTGCTCTCCCTTCCAGGAGTCAAGCAGACCAGAGATCAGAGTAACAGGTGCGCTTTGCAGAAAGGGGAAGTTGTATGATGCCCAAGATGGCAGAAAGGCAGCTGGAGACAAGAGCCGACAACCAGAATCCAGGTCCTTCCTGGCTACCTCTGTGGACGCAGCAGACAGGGATTTGCATGTTCCCTGCCTAACCCAGATTCCCCGGGCTGATGTAAAATGAGTGAAATGAGGCCAAGGGTTGCTGGCTGCGGGCCGATGGCGTGTGGTTTCTCCTCGAGGTCTCCGTGGAGCCCGAGCAAGACATGGCCTTTGATCTCTCTATTCAGCAGTTGGCAGAAACCTCAGGTCTAACCGGAGGCCAGATCTACTTTTGAGGACTGATCCCTCAGCCCCACCGCTATCAAGGGGCAGCCACTTCTGGAAGCTTCCCATCGAATTCAGGCTGGGCAAAGCATCTCGAATTCCCATGTCTATCAACCACTCAATCCCTTCCATGGCCTATCCTTTTCTTAACTTTGGAATAGTGTCAGTCACCTGTCATACAGTACTTACCTGGGTTTATTTATTTATTTATTTATTTAGGGGGACTCATGTTAGCTAAGCAATTACCAACAATAGCTTGATTATACTTCTAAATTCTTTGGACACAAGCAACTGCTTCTTCCCCCAAGCACGCTCTGACGCTATCGGAACATTGTACTGGTTGCCTCCCCTAGCAGTTTTGCCGGATCTCACCCCCTGAAGAAACCAACTGTAAATATTTGACATTCCTCGTACCTCTGGTAGTCCCCGCAGCCTAACCTTCTGGGGCTTTCCATTTCAGCTTTATGCCTCAAGGAAAAAAACAGAAAGAAAAGGCCAGGGTGTGTTCCAGGCTGAAGATCTTTATAAAGATTCTTTATAAATAATCACCGCTTGTGGGATGGGTGTTAGTTAAGGTGTCCCTGTGGTTTAGGATACGAATAAAGCCTTTTGTGTGTGTTTGGTCAAATATAGACATACAGAATTTACCATTTGCACCATGTTTAAGTGTACAGTTCTGTGGTGTCAAGGACCTTCACAGGGTCGGTGCATCCATTTCCAGAACTTTGTCATCGTCCCAAACACAAGCTCTGTACCCAGTAAACAGAAGCTCCCCATTCTCCCCTCCTCCAGCCCCTGGTAACCACTCATCTATTCTGACTCTACGAATTCAACTCTTCTACGTACCTCATGTAAGTAGAATCAGGTAATATTTGTCCTTTGTTGTCTGACTTTTCACCTAGTGGAATGTCTTCCAGATTCATCCATGTTGTGGTGTGTACAGACTTCCATCCTTTTCTAGAGATCCCATTCTGTGTTTATAGGACACGTGATGTTTATCCACTCATCTGCTGGTGGGCACTTGGGTTATTTCCATCTTTGGGTTAGTGTCCAATAAAGTTTAACATGGGCTCTGGCTCCTTTATAACTTAGGACCAATGTGACAACTACCTTGTACTTTTAGTTCATCTGCTAGAAACAGGACGTCCATCAGAGCAACTTCCCACTCTGGGGCTCTGCAGGCAAAGCTGGGGCTGGGGACGGTGAAGGAGGAGCACCTGGGTCGCTGGGGACCTTGGCAAAGTGACACGGGAATAGGGTCTGTCTGGTCAGAGGTAGCAGCCTGGTTGGGTGGGATGGCGCAACATGGGGTTCCTGATTCTATAATGTAAGAGAGCTTCCATTCATTCATTAGAGTAATTAATCCATTCATTCTATTTTTCTCTCACTCATCCATTCCAATATTACTTAACACAGTCATGAGCTCAGACTTCCCCAAGCTTCCAACCATCAGAGGCAGAGAGACAAGCGAAGCCTAAGGGTATGCGGCTTTGGGGGGAGAAGTACGGCTGGGAACCCAGAGGAGGCACCTGTCCTGTACTCGGGAGACAGGAAATGCTGTCTGGAGGAAGCCCGCACCTGTGCCAAGTCATCAGGGAAGGGAAGTATTTAGCCAGGGGAGCAGAGGTTGGAAAGGGGGAACCAGGCCTGGGAGGGGCACACGAGAGCCCAGAGATGAAAGGGAGGACCAGCCATTGGCCTACGTGCGTGTGACTCATGGTTTGAGGTTGGGGGTGCAGAGACTCAGGAGAGGCAGGAGGGAAAGCCACGGATGTGAGCTGGGACCATTTGCTGAGGGAACTCGGGTGGTGTTTCGGCTTGATTCTGGGGCAAAAGAGAAGTCAGATGGCTTTGAAGCGGGAGAGGAAGGCAGATTCTGTTCTACCCTTGAGGGAGCCAGCATCTCCTGAGCCCTCCGGAGAGCTCCATGCCTCCCTCGGTTAACCCTCACAACAGCTGGCCTCAGTGAGGCAGGAGGTCCCGTACTCCCCATGGGGGCGGCAGGGTGCTGACACCACCATCCCTTTGGCTCTTCAGCGAGGTCTGTGGAGCTGGTTGGAAACGCAGAGCCTTGGCCCTCTACCTTCTGGATCGGAATCTGCCTTTGAAGGGGATCTGCTCGCGGTCCCTGAGCACACTGAGGTCCGAGAAGTGCTGGGGTGATTCCCAAGACTCAGGGCATATTAGAATCTCCGGGACAGTGCTTCGGCCCTACTCCTGGATCACGGTTTCTGGGGCTGCCATTCAGGCATCAGGACTTTTCAAAGTTCCCCCAAGCCCCGTGAATTCTGCGTCCTCTTTTCCAGGAGGGCGGGCTGACTCCTGCAGGAAGCGCCATTGGAGGCTCTGCCACTTTAAGAACCGGAGTTGGCCGGCGGCCCAGGAGGCCGCGGGAGGCCACCCTGCCAGGGCGGGGACCAAGTGAGCAAGGGCTGCAGGCTGCCACGGTCAGCGCTGGGGCTGGCCTGGGCTCCGGACCCGAGCCCCACGAACAGCCCCAGTGGCGCGGTGGCGCGGGCGAGACGAAGAAAGGGGACCTTTATGCCTTTTGGGGGAGGCACACATTCTGCGAGGCCGTGGAAACAAAGAGAGGAACTGTTTGTAGCCCTAGTCCCGACGTCCCAAACCAACAGTAAGTCAGGAGGGCGCAGAACACGACACGGCCCCCTCCCCCAGGACAGCACACATACGCCCCTCCCCCCCCGCGCCGCCACCACCCAGAGGCTTTTCCCTGAAATTCTTTCCCCACTGGGTGGTGGGTGTGGGGGGAGCCTCTGAAGGTCAGGGCTCAGCTCCTGACAGGCAGTACCTGATGACCTCAGGTGTGGGTGGTGTTTCTCATTCTGTCCCCCCTCCTGCAGGGGCCTGGAGGTCCAAGCCACTGTGCCCCAGAAGGCTAAGGTCCTGTGAAAGCAGAGAAAGTAAAACTGAAACCTGTCAGTGTAACTGTCGGTCTTGGGACCGCAGGCTTGCCTGGCACACAGCAGTGAAGCTAATGGCCACAACAGGGGTGGCCATGGGGGCTGTGGCCGGCATGGGGCAGTTGGCCTGGACCTAGGCAGGGCTTCTGAAGGAGGGAAAGGGGCGTGGAGGCAGGAGCCCGATCATCCACTGGAGGCTGAGCTCCGTGAATCCCATTCCAGGCTCTCTCCAGGCTGCACAACTTGGCTTGTCAGGCTTGTCTCCGTCTCCACTGGGGGCTGCAGTGACACGCTTTGGACCGTGCGCCGTGCGCCACCAAATGCTAAAAGCAAAGCCTTGTGACTTTGGAGTGTCTCTTCTCTCATGTTATCTGTGCCTCCCTGCCCCCCTCCTTTATTGCAGACAATGGAGAGCTAACTATAATCCGCCTTGCTTCCGAGACCGTGTGCAAAAATTATCATGCGTTGGGGGCGGGTAGCAGGTTGAGCTTGTGTTGGCAGAAAGGAGAAGGTTGGCATTGATTGGCACGCAGAGGAGGGAAGCTGCTTTGTGTCTTCAAGATCACTGGGTATGCGCTAGGAGGAAGGGAAGGGGAGGTCTGAGAGTAGGGAGCACAGAGAAAGCTGGCTTTACCAGGAGGTGGAGTGGAGATGAGGAAGAAGGAAGAGGAAGGTGGCCTGGGGTGAAGGGCAGGGCAGGGTCCTGGCGCCGACTGTGGCTTATCCAAAATGATGATGAAGTATCTGAAAGAGCCAGATATGACATCCGGCAGCAGGGCTAAGTCCCAGAGATCAGTTGCTGGCCCCTGAAGTATTTTATTTATTGATTAATCGGAGCTTCCTTGGAAAATGGGGAGATTTCATGTTTGACTCTGAGAGGCCTGGACACCAGGCTTACACAGCGGTCCCCACTCACACACAAACATGTTGGCTCCCCGCCCCCAACTCCCCGATCTCTGTACCTGCCCAGTTCCCATGGGCATTGCAAATTGCTGCTACTCCTGGTCTTGATAATAATGATTCTTTTATATCGAGCCTTCTGTTGAGTGTGTGTGCATGGGACTGTGTGTGTGTGTGTGTGTGTGTGACTGTGCGTGCGTGCACACCAGGCACAGAGGTGTGCTCTCTTTCAATGAATTTCAATTAATCTCTCCCCTTTTCTGTTGAGGGTGACAGATGCACAAAACCAGCATACCCCTCTCCTTAGCAGATTCCACAGCCTTTCCAGGCGATCTGCCAAATTGCTAGATGACATTTGCTTTAAAAAATTTTTGAGTGCATTTTCTTTCTTTTTTTTTTTTCTTTTTAAGATTTTATTTACTTGACAGAGACACAGAGAGAGAGGAAACACAAGCAAGGGGAGTGGGAGAGGGAGAAGCAGTCTTCCTGCCCAGCAGGGAGCCTGATGGGGGCTTGAACCCAAGACCCTGGGATCATGACCTGAGCCGAAGGAAGACGCTTAACGACCAAGCCACCCAGGCACGCCATGAGTGCATTTACTTATCTTGATTTTAAGTATTTCCCGGCCTGCATTAAGGTGCTATTTCACCTGTGCCACACTTGGTAGTTTTAAAAGCATTCCTTAAACATACGTGAATTCATTTTCTCCTTCCAGCAGTTCTGTGAGATCGATAGTTTGTGTCCCCTTCCTGTGCTCTCTTGGAGAAAACTGACAGCACAGAAACCAAATGACTTGCCTTGGCCCTGCAATGATTTTGAAGAAAAGTTAGTAAAAGTAAGCTGTGTCCTTTACACTGCATAGAACTAAAGACATTCTGCTCTGAAAAGCATAGTGGCTAAGGGTAGGCTCTCCATCCAGATACTGGTCTGACTACTAGTTAGGCCACTCAGTAGCTAAGCATCTTCAGACAAAGAATTGTATCTCCCAGGGCCTCCTTCTGTCAAATGGAGACCACAGCCCTTATCTAAGGAGCACTGGATGGATTAAATGAGGTAACATATGCACGGTGTCTAGAACCGTGCCTGGTACACTGTAATTTTTTAATAAATATCCCACTGGGTACTCAAACTGTTAGTATCTGTATCTCTGGGAAACTCTCTGTAGGACTTTGGGCACAGAGTAAGTTGTAACAAAAAGACCCCAAAATACATTGACTCCAAAAGGATAGAAGTGTATTTCCCTTTCACCTACTGGCCAGGAGGTAGAAGGTCAGTGCAGGACAGGGAAACAACTCTACTCCATAGGGCCATTCAGGAACCCAGGTTCCTTGACCTGTGTTTCTTCCCACCCGCTCGGGGCCTAGGGTGTCCCCCTCTTTGCCCTAGTTGTAGCTTCTCAACCATGTCCACCTTCTGTTCCTGCCTGCAGGCAAACAGCCCCCTCTCGACGACGTCTCTCAGAAGCTGTTCAGGCCCTTCCACTCGGATCGCTCTTTGACCAGAACTGGGGCACACTTAGCTGCCGGTGAGTCTGGGAAACGTAGTCTGTAGCTGAGCTAACTAAATGTGCCCAACGAACACGTAGGAGTTCTCTTACTAAAAGGAAGAAAGGGAGGGCAAAAATTGGGAGCAGGTCACGGTCATGGGGCCGTAACGTCCCAGAGGTGTGCTTTGGACTTGAATCTGGAGTGGCTAGTGCCTGCTCAGGCTGCCAGATTCTCAGCCTACCTGAGCTCCACTTCTTAGGGATGCCTGATTTACTCTTGGATTTCTTCTTTAGCGAAATCCAGGGACAGCTCTTGGCTCTACATTTCAGACAAACACCTCTGGTGGCAGCATGGTTATCTCCTGTCGGCATGTCAGACTGACTGTCCATTGGGCTGGGCAGCCTTGTCCCCTTACCACCCAAACCTCCTAGCAAGGGTGGCACTGGCTCTGTTTATTTGTTTGCTTTCTTCTGGATCTTTCAACAACTTCCCCAACCTGCAATGTCAAATTCATACTCCAGAGGTTGTCTCCAGAGAGTCACTATTCCTTGTGATCTTGAGTCCGGGGTATCTGATGAAGGAAAGGTCCCAGCTCCTTCCATTCTCCTGGAGTCCACCCTTGCATGTGCGGAAGAGGGAACCTTCTCCCCACATCATCAAAGATTACCCACGAGCCCACAGGGCTGTAATGACGTGATCAAGCCACACGTTTGGTGGGTGGTTGGGCAGCCATGTGGTCTGGCAGTTCTGTGGTCTTAGAGGTCAACCTCCATGGTGCCTGCGTTTCTGAAAGTGCTTGAGTTCAATAGCAACCTGGCTCGAAGAAAGGAAGTGTAGATCAACGTTCCATTCTTATCATTGAAAGTAACAGCTTGGATGGGCCAAAAAAGGGAATACCAATGGAAATCCCGTCTCTAGGGACAGAGAAGGTAGTTTGAAGTATATTGCCTAACAGATGAAGGAGGAACTTTGCATGTGTTGAGGCCCTACCACGTGCCAAGCACCTGCTCAAGGCAGACCCAGAGCCCTGAATAACAAAACAGGCACCTGATGGAGTCTACAGCCTAGCAGGCTTGCTCTGCATTAACCATCTCATTTAATCCTTGTACATTTTGCAAAGCATGTATTTTTCCTATTTTGTGGACCAAAAATGTAAGTAAAGGAAATGGTAGGGACAGTTTTAACCCCATGTCTGCCTGATTCTAAAACTCCTGTTCTTTCCATTTTTATTCTGTCTGCCCGCAGACACTGTCTTTGTTGAAGAGGGACTCAAGCCTACACACAGATGTGACCTGGCCCCTGTGCTAAACACCTGGACCAGTTATTGCTATTAACTCAGGGCTTGGCTTCACTTGACTGTGGTGGTTGGGATTTCGCTCTAGTCTGCATCTCTCTCTCTCTCATCCCTCTTGCCTATTTCTCCTTCTCTGTAAATCTATCAAGCTAAACTACCCTACTCCTTCCTGGGGCTCTGACTGCTGTAGGAGGAATTGTCCATTACATCATCTGGACCATTAGAGTCCTGGGTTCCCAAGGCTGCCGGGAAACCCTTCCAAGTGTCCCTAGACCCTCCCCTGTCCCATTTGGTCCTTGGTGTCTCCTCCTGACTGTTCCTTTTCCATCAAGCCCTGTTTGAATCTCCATTGCTTTGTCTGTCATTATCATGTTAGAGGATCCATCCTGTCCACTGATAAAACTGAACAAAACTGAGGGTCCAAGAAATTCTCAAGATCTTCCCTGGTCATTCCCACAGTGTGTCTCCTACTCTGCTTCTCTGCTCCTCCCACACCAGGAGAGGGGTGTGCCCCTGCTAATGGATGACCTTCTCTGTGTGCTGCTGATGCCCATCTCCCTCAGAAACCCGCCTTTGTGTTCTCTTGCTCACGTCATTACCCTCTTGTCTACCGATATTCTCATCAGTCTCTCCCATCTGAACAGGACTCCGTTCTTGATCCCATATTTCTGTCTAACTTCTCCCTTCAGTTTCCCTTTCTCTCTCCCCTCACAGCCAAGCTTCTTGAAAGAATTGTCTACACTAGCTGTCAACACTGTCCACCTATACATTCAGACCTCCATCACCCATTGTGATCCGGTATATGTTCCCATGATCAAATGCCAAGACAGATGTCATGAAAGGCAGCCATTCTCCAGGTCCAGCTGGTGTTTTTCTTCCCGGAGGTGACTCCATCTGTCTAGAACATTGGTACTATTGCACACCCCCACATTTTGAGCCTCTCTCTCGAGGTGCCTCTGCTCTCTAGGTTTCCACGTTACTTTCCTGGACACTGTTTTCCATCTCCTTATGGTCTCTTTATGGAGACGTC